GTGGTTTTTGGGGCGGTGGGGGGGGGGGGGGCTCTTAATATAACTTCATATTTTTTAAGAATAAAATTTTGCAATAAAACCTCCCAAAACAAAACACAACGCCTTTGTGGAGGGGAGTGCTAGGAAATATAGTCGCAAGGCTTGGAAAGGCTAGCATTTTATCGGGATTGTTTGCATGAAATCTATAGCTATTATGAAATACTCGGTGAAGAACAATATGAATTAAACGCAAGATGGCTGTGGAGGAGGTTATGGAAGGGCATAATCTCATCATCAAGTAAATCAACTCGGCAATTCTGACAGCAGTCATGAGCAATTCTGCTTCGCACTTCGGTGGCAGAAATGGCTTTACTGTGGGGGGGGGGCAAATTCTTTCTCTGCCCCCCCTCCCCAGATATATAGTTAAAAAGGGCACTGCTACAGGAGGAAACCTAAACTAAACTAACTTTATTTATACTGGATAGCTCTATCAGTTCTTCAGTAAACTGTTCGTCCTAGAGGTGCAGTAAGAGTCATCAGTTATTGATCCAGTGTTACTTCAGGAGGAAACCTAAACTAAACTAACTTTATTTATACTTGATAGTTCTATCAGTTCTAAACTGTTCTTCCTAGAAGTTCAGTAAGGATCATCTCTTATTGCTTGGTGAATCTAATGATTACGTAAAATGTAATCTCATATTTGCATATTGAGCTATTGCGTAACAGAATAAGCATTATGTGATGTCGTATTATATTACATGAACGTTTATTTTACAGCCATACTGCTTTGAATATCTTGCATCGCGAGGTTAAACTTCGTTGCTGGCATGTCAAACTCAAGCCAAAAGGTTGGTATTTGGTTTGTATTGTAGCTATATATTTACCGTAAGGATTTAAGATTTGACGGCATATCACTATATTGGATGAAGCCTGCAAATTTGATGCTGTATTGATGATGAGTATGATGATTGTATCGAGTCGGGCCTCTGCTTGCTTCGCAAAACTTTTCGGCCCAAATTTGAACAGCTCGTTGTGTCGAAATGCGAAATTTTGCAACTTTCGAGGGCATGATCTTAAAATCAACTAGATAATTACTAGATCATTCATAATTACTGACGCCAACGACATTATTGGATATATTGCAGCCAGCTTCGGCCTTCGGCCTCAGCTGGCTGCGGCCGAAGCTGGCTGCAATATATCCAATAATTTATGCCGTTGGCCTCAGTAATTATCGACGGTACAACTGAAGTTGTAATCAGGTTGCATGCGACAGTTTTAGGCAAATGTTGTGTGGTGCCAGAAATCGGTTTCAGGCACCAACTGAGATAACGAAATTTAATCAGCCATGTGCAGTGAACCTTGCGAAATTTATTCACCTCGGGGCTAGTATACTGGAAAACGCGGCCGCGGACACGCGGACACTTGCGGAAAATACGGACAGTTGTGGAAAAGACGGGCAGTTGTAAGACTGCACGATTGTATGTAGTAGAGTATTTTTATACTACAGGGTGTATAAAAGAAACCCGCAAACACTATAATTTGCATAATTCTGCTGCTTAAGTTAATAGCATTTCGATGTCTGTGCTACTTATTTTGCCCCTGGGATTTGTAAATACATTAGATAGATATAAACTTTATTTATACACGCTGACCCCGTCAACCGAAGCTGATTTCCACGGGGGCGTGTGCAAAAATAGAAAAATGTTAAATGGAGGTAGAATATTAGGTAGAATATTAAATTATTTACATGATAAGAAGGTTATTAGAATATTTAACAGTTATTCTACGAACTCGAGTCGAATAACTGTTTTATTATATACACAAGGTCTGAATTCACAGACTTTGCTTTTCGGATATTTTCAATATTTTTCTATTTTGTTTATGTTTTTATCTTCGCTCTTTCGGCCAATTATTGTTTCAAAAATATATATTTTTAACCATTTTTAATTTTAAAAATTCATTTGCTAACCTGTAAACAGTTTGAGAGAGTTTTTTCATTGTGTTTTTAATCTTGTAAAGGCTATTAAAACCTAACAACTTGCCGTGTTCTCGTTCGCAAATCAATTTACTTATTACTCTATGTCAATTTTGTGAGCAGCGATTTTATTTCTAAAGGATGGAAGAGTTTCACTTTCCCTAATTTCATTTGGAATAGAATTCCAAAGGTGTGCTCCGTCATACATGGAACTACTTTTCATATTCAAGGTTTTTTCTGTGTTGGTGTAATGTACTCAGGTGAATATGATGCTTGTGATGTTACTCTGAGTGTATATCCACACCGGGCAGGCTTGAAGAATATGCCTGACCACGGTGGGAATCAAACCTACGACCTTTGGAATACTAGCCCAACGCTCTGCCAACTGAGCTACGCGGTCTGGTCGGTTCGAGTATGTGATATTTCGGAACAGAATCTAGTTCCTTCGATATCAATGTTATCTAATAATAATCAAGGTTTTTTCTGTGTTGGTGTAATGTACTCAGGTGAATATGATGCTTGTGATGTTACTCTGAGTGTATATCCACACCGGGCAGGCTGACCACGCCTTTGGAATACTAGCATACATGTACTCGCACCGATCCGACCAGACCGCGTAGCTCAGTTGGCAGAGCATTGGGCTAGTATTCCAAAGGTCGTAGGTTCGATTCCCACCGTGGTCAGGCATATTTTTCAAGCTTGCCCGGTGTGGATATGCACTCAGAGTAGCATCACAAGAATTATTTTTCATGTTGCTAGTACGCGGTTTTGGTAAACTAAGGGCGCTTGAAATGTCCTGAAGGTTGTAGTTCGTTTTCTCACATTTGTATGAAAAAAGATTAGTGAGTGATTTAGGACAATCTTTATGAAATTAGGACAATTTCACAACTACACTGTTTTCAACTTAGGACCACCTTAAACAGAAAGGATTTGAAGTTTTTTTCTCGTGAACTATCACAGACAAGCAGAACATCTTTCTTCAACACATGCGCGAAAAATATCTTGGATAGTTTTGATCAATAAATATGCAAATAAGCATTACAGGTAAACTACGTGAAGCGTTCCTCTTTTGAGTTCGTAACTCATTTAGAATTTTCCTCATTAGCTTTGCAAATTTGAAAAACTCTTTGCAAATCCCTTGAGGGAATTTGCAATGTTCCTATCGGCTGTTGCAATATCCCAAACTTCATTTTAAATTTCCCTAACTTCCTGTTTTAATTTCCTAACTTCCTGTTCTGTTCTGTTCTGAGCGTTGTTATTGGTCGATTATTTTTGTTAGCCAATTGCAACGCGCAGAACAGAACAGGAAGTTAGGAACTTGTAACAGGAAGTTAAGAACTTGTAACAGGAACTGAGGAAAATTTTTTTGGCTTTTAGCAACATTGCAAATTCCCTCAAGGAATTTGCAAGGGAGTTTTTTAAACTGCAAAAGTAATGAGGAAAATTGCAATCAATTTAGAAACTCAAAAGAGGAACGCTTCACGTAGTTTACCTGTAACACGAAAATGAAAAGAATTCTTTATTTTGATCAATATACATGGAAATAAGCATTAACACAAAAACGATGCCCCAGGTCATGACCTTGGAACCTTGTTTTCGTGTTAAAGCTTATTTCCACAATTATTGGTCAAAATAAAGAATTCTTTTTCATGCATGTGTTGAAGAAGGATGTTATGCTTCTCTGTGTATAGCCGATGGGAAAAAAACTCGAAATCCTTCCCATTTAAGGTGATCCTAAGTTGAAAACAGACTAAAACAGTGTAGTTGTGACGTGCTTATCGAAAGAGTGTTTTGACCGCGTTGATAGAAATTACAATAACACAAAGTTATTTGTATAAATGCAGAAAACTAATTATCAGTTCGACTGCGAATGGCTCAACTATTGTGTTTGTGTATTTCAAAGGGTTTGCAGGTTTTTTGATACACCTTGTTTATTATATATTTATCATTTATTATAGACCTGGGGCCTGTTGTATGGTAAAGAAGTGATTAAATTTAACTATGATTAAGTGAATTTAGTTAACCATCAGAATTTTTGAAAGTTGAGTTAATCACTGTTTAATCTCAAAATGTGATTAAAAGTTTTATACAGCCAGCCCCTGGGGCGAGGGGGGCGCGACAAAATATTACCCGAAGTGATGATATTAAACCCCGAGGGAAATATCATCACCGAGGGTAATATTTGACTGAATCCCCCTAGCGGACGGTCTATAAATGATATATTATACCGAAAATTAAAAGCCTCTAAGTTGAGAATATAAAATTTGCCACATACCTTTGTGAATACGATGTTTTAGTTTTGGATTAACGCAAATATCGTCGCTTTTCTTTCGAATGACATGTCGTTTTGAATATTGACGATAAAAATTTTAAAATATTTTTTAAAAGGTTTTTTCGAGTCTAAAAACTTAATAATCCATCACTACTTCGTATATTTTGTGGGCCGTCTTGTTTGCGTGATCGCCGCGCGTGGTTTACGCGAAGATCTCACAACTTGTCAACAAGATGTGTTCGCACTGCTTGCCACCAGTTGTTGACAAGTCTGGAACAAGTTGTGATCATCTTGTAACAAGGTTGACGAGGCCAACAGACTCGCAACAAGTTGTTCCAACAAGTCTGATATCGTCTGCACGTCACAAGTTGTTTAGCCCGTATTAGTCTTGTTGGAACAATTTGTAGCAAGTTTGTTACCGTCATCAACCTTGTAACAAGATGATAACAACTTGTTCCAGACTTGTCACAACAACTGGGAACAAGCAGTGCGAACACATCCTGATATCGGCTTCACAACAACCTTGCTACAACTTGTTTTCAAATAACAACTTGCGCGTTTTTACGAAGATTTTCTGAAGATTTTCATTCAGTAGATATTCTTCAATTTTAAGACGGTCTTAGAACGTCTGAATGCAGGGGAAATCGTGATCGGTGATGGCGGTTATATCACTGAAATGGAACGACGTGGTTATGCCACAGCTGGTTTATGGACACCCGAGGTTAATGTCGAGCATCCTCATGCTGGTATGTTTATCTGTAATTACCATTATCACCATCATTACTACCGTCACGATATCATCGTCAGCACTAGTCCATCACCATCACAATCAATCACCACCATCATCATCATCATCATCATCATCATCATGATCATCATCACCATCATCATTACCATCATCATCATTACCATCATCATTATCATCATCACCATCATCACCATCATCATCATCATCATCATCATTATCACCATCATCATCATCACCATCATCATCATCATCATCATTACTATCATCATCATCATCATCATCATCACTATCATCATCACCATCATCATCGCCATCATGATCACTATTATCATCATCACCATCATTATCACCATCATCATCACCATCATGATCACTATTATCATCATTATTATCACCATCATTATCACCATCATCATCACTATCATCATCATCATTATCATCATCATTATCATTATCACTATCATCATCACCATCATCATCACTATCATCATCATCACTATCATCATGGTTATCATCATCACCATCATCATGGTCATCATGATGGTCATCATCATTATCATCACCACTAACATGCATTTTTACTCTAATGTTTAAGTGGAAGGTTTACATCATGAGTTTGCCAGGGCAGGATCTGACATCCTCCAAGCATTTACATTCAACGCAAATGATCATTTGGATCGGGTACGTTGTCTGGAAATAATTTCACCTCATTTCCATCTGAGAAGAGGGTTTCTGACAGAGCTATTCAGTATAAATAAAGTTAGTTTAGTTTAGGTTTCCTCCTGTAGTAACACTGGATCAATAAGAGATGATCCTTAGTGGGCCTCTAGGAGAACATTTTAGACTGATAGAGCTATCCAGTATAAATAAAGTTAGTTTAGTTTAGGTTTCCTCCTGTAGTAACACTGGATCAATAAGAGATGATCCTTACTGGACCTCTAGAAAGAACAGTTTAGAACTGATAGAGCTATCCAGTATAAATAAAGTTAAAGTTTAGTTTAGGTTTCTTCCTGTAGTAACACTGGATCAATAAGAGATGATCCTTACTGGACCTCTAGCAAGAACAGTTTAGAACTGATAGAACTATCCAGTATAAATAAAGTTAAAGTTTAGTTTAGGTTTCTTCCTGTAGTAACACTAGCCTTTACTGAGGGTTACTGTTCATAACTTCATAGGCACAAACAGGAGACCGAAATGAAGTCAACGAATCCGCATGTAGAATCGTGAAGAAAGTTTCTGCAGAGTACAACTGTCTCTGGGCTGGAGGATTGTCCGCTACCAACATCTACGGACATGGAGGTTCGAAGAAGGACGTGCAAGAATATTTTAAAGAACAAGCCAAAATCTTTGTGAGACATGACTGCGATTTTTTCATTGTTGAGGTGGGTAGATGCTCATATACAGGGTGTCCCGAGGAAAATGCAATTATAGCTGTGTTAGACTGACAAAGCTATCTAGAACAAAGAATGTTAGTAAGACTTCTGCTACTGTAGTAACATCAAATTTTTGTCCCGTCTTAGTATTTTCATATCTGCGAAGAAGCAGAATGGGCGGTTGAGGTCTTGAAAGAAACTGGAAAGCCTGTGTTGGCCAGTCTCTGTATCACATCTCAGGGCGATTTTAAAGGAGTCCCTACTGATGAATGTGCTGTACGATTAGTCAAAGCTGGTAAGATGAGTGCTTTACATCCTTTTAAAGGACAATTGCAACAAGTATTTTTATTGTCTCATTTGAAAGAACTTTTAAAATTATCTATAAAATCTTGTCACTTTTGAAATATTTTGACTGAAAGCTTTCCGCCATCTTGGATTAATTATTAACCTTATAAAATTACTTCTAAGTTACTTAGTAAAAATGTTTTTATTCAATTCGAAATATGAAATAACAACCTTAAAGCGAGTTTCGGGTTCATATTGATCACTAGTTGTCAAGACAAAAAACTCGCTCAATAATCCAAGATGACGATATATATATATATATATATATATATACAAATAAAGTTTTTAAAGAGAAATAACTTGCATTAAATAGAGGAAGGACTAACTTAGATTTTGATATATTACAGTTGTATTTAACTTAAAAATTCACGGAGATATTAATGTTAAAAATGGGGAGCATATTTTGGAATGTGTCTAAAATTAGCGAAAATCGGCATATCAAATATTAACTCCAGCGTTTGTTTGCTTAATGACATATTAGGCTAACTTGTATTTCAGCGAATTATCGTTAAGGTTTGTAAGGGATATGGCGTAGATTTAGACATCTTACGTGTAAGTCTTAGCTCATTGTTTCCTGAAATATGAACATTCGAAATTATGCAAGTATTTAATATTAGGTCTTTGCAAACTTAAATGTACATGAAAGACTGACCATGGAAGGCAGGCGCTTAAATTTTTCGTATTCTTAAATAGCCTAATTTTTTTATGTTTTTAATGGGTTCAAACAGACTGAGTTGATTATTTTTCGGTTAAAGCAGGATGAATATTCTTTATTGAAGGAAATAATATTGCTTTTTGCAAATACACATCACCGTATCAACGCTACTATTTTGTTACGTTTTGTTCCAAAAATGTTGCATGTCTCTGGGGAGTTGCTTAATTGTTATGTCTTATGGAGTTGTATGGTTTGATTGTGTTTCATATAATTCTCAGTTTACTCCATGAACTTGCCAAGATTAAGAAACGGCAAAAGAGTTTGGGTGTTCTTAACAAGATTTCAGAACGTTGCAGAAGTTAGAAGAGCTTCACAATTCCATTGTGACAGCATGCCCTAATTCTGAACTACGAACGATCCATGACGATCCTTCGCGATGCAGTGGTCTCATGAAATAAGGAAACGTATATATTCGTGCTAGGAACACATGCGGATTTCGGACGAATAAATCTTGTTTGTATTTTGTAGATAATAATACTTTGTTTCATAATAAACAATTTGTCAAGTGTCATTTATATTTACTGGTAATAGTGCATGTTTCAGTCGGGCAAATCTTGATTAATATTTGATACGCCGTGTTTTGCATATTTCAGACACATCCAGAAATATGCTCCCGATTTGAAACATTAATATCTCCGTGAATTTGTAAGTGAAATACAACTGTAATATATCAAAATCTAAGTTAGTCCTTCCTCTATTTGATGCAAGTTATTTCTCTTTAAAAGTTTTACCTGTTTAGAAGTTATTAGGAATCAAACCGGAGTACTTTTTTTTGGGACACCCGGTATATCTTTAAATAAATTTCTAGAGTGCTGTTGCACAATCTGGCGTAGTGCTGATAGAGAATCTGAGTTACATCGGTAATGTTAAATTTGCGGATTTATTCTCTCGCGCGGGTGTCCCTATCTCTTCCCGCTTTCTATATATAGATATAGATAGAATACTTTATTTGAAAAGCATAAGCTTGGTTTCTTTTGTAGTGACTCAGTGTTATGTGTTATGTGAGGGTACTAATCAGTAATCATACTATGGTTCCTCACAAAATAATCCGCACTATATAGTAAACCTGAACAAATCATTTAGGCACTTGAACACCAAAATGCATTTATGCATACTTCCGCGAGTAGCTAAATCTACCCTAAACCTAAATTAATAACTAAAATCTGTCTCAGTAGTCAAGAATGTCTTGTCTGCAAACCATCTCGATACACGATTGCTATTACCATAGCAGACAACGTGATGGCGGCAAGGGTAAAATATACCCCAACACATGTATCAATGGACAGCAGTCAGCACACTTTCGAAAAATTTGTCAAAATGACACGAAAAATAACTCGACCGCGTGTTTTGTGGCTTAGGCCATCATTTCAATGGTAGCAAATCCAATGATAGCTTTCAAAGTCCCGATTATATATATATATATATATATATATATATATATATATATATATATATATATATATATATATATATATATATACAAGTTGGGTTTGTCCACTTTGCTAGAGTGCTCAACACAGAGATTGTGGAGCGAATTATATTTCGGAATGTGAAATTCAACTAATTTAAAAACATTAAAAAATTAAAAACTAAGTTCATTTACTCGAGTTTCACGCCTATATTGGCGATCATCAGACTACCTGTCCGTATTAAGACGTTCTTATTTATACCTATTTTAAACTATTTAAAATTAGCATATATCTTTACATAATTACAATCAAAACCTATTATTTACGTTACATTACTAGCATAAAATTTGTTTTCGTGCCGGCATTTTGATACTAATTCTGATCGTTTGTTTAGAAGAGTTCCCTTGTGAGCGTTTAGAATTGCCATTTTTTCTGCCAGGCACAGTTTACAAACTCTTGTTCCACTTGCGTACGGTTTAGCCTGCTTCAAAATTGACCATTTAATTTCGTAATCCCTTTTCGTTTTCTTCAGGTCCCAAATTAATTTTGATAGCGCTGTTTTGTTTGCATAGTCTTTGATCTTAAATGATAGCGTATAGTTGTAAAACCTCGTTTTGAATTCCGATTCCGCCATGCCGACGTAAATCTTAGGGTCGTCGTCTTTTCCTGGTTCAAATACTTTCGCTTGGTATATTGTAGCTGTTGTTAAACATTGGTTATCTAATGGGCAGTTATTCTTGTTTCTACAATTGCATCCGGCGCTGCTTGCTTTCTCGTTGTTCAAAACTTTTTTGTTATGTCCTTTAATTATGCTAGCCATATTATTCATGCAACTATAGCTTATTTTTATTGTATTTCGGTTAAAGATTTTTCTTAATGTGTTGCCATGTGGGAAATGTTTGTCAACAAGTTCCAAAACTGCTCTGCCGACATTTGTTAGTACATTTGCTGAGTATGGTGGATTAAACCAAATAATGTTCCGCGCTCTATTTTTGCGTGGATTTTGCAGTGTTGGTCTGGGCAAGTATTTTAATTGATCATCAAAACCGCTCTCTTTAAGGGCTTTGTTGTAAATCGGGGCTGCTTTATGGAACTCCTCGGCATTGCATGACAGATCGGAAATTCGTTGACTAATTGATGTAGGTGCTTGTTTAATGATTGGTGGTGGGTGATTTGATTGTACGTTGATGTAGAGTGGGGTATTGTCTGGTTTCCTATAGGGCTTGTGAGAGCCATTGTTTAAATCAAAAGTGACATCAAGGTAATTTACTATTTTCTGGTTTGTCTGTATGGTAATGCCATAGAATAAAGATTCATATAGAAGGGCCACTTACGTCGGAAGCTTTGAAGTTTCTGTCCTCGCGCATGTCGCATTACGCATGTTGGCCGCCATTTTCCTAGCCAGTCAATGACATTTTCTGGCCAATAAACACACTGTACTGGCTGGCTGCTCCGCCTCCTGGCCAGTAAACTGCATATTTTTGCATAAAAAAACGAGGACATGTTGCACCGCTGAGTGGCCCTTCTGTTACTGATCTTTATTCTGTGGTAATGCTTAAACCAAGGTCCTTTAGGCACTTTGCAAATCGTTTTCCGATGCCGTTCGAGGTTCGGGCTCCCACGTTCTTGAAAGCCGCCAGTCCATCGTCTCTGTACAGTCCTATGTTGTCATTCATGAACAAACCAACAAGCTCGCATATCTCCGCACCATCGTAGCTGCCCATTGCAACATCAAACATATTTGCACTGTTCCGTTTGCACCATGGCTTGCCTTCGTTGAATAGTAAAGATTTTCGGCTATGCATAATTATATTGATCTGTTGTTGTGAGATTTCGATAAATTGGCTGGCGTAATTTAAAGCTTGCGATAAAAGGTTTTCTGAGATTGAAGGGTAAAAGTCTACAACATCAAATACAATGAACGAAAATGTTGATTTGTTTTCTAATGCGTTGAACCATGCAATGACATCTGCTGTGCTCCGCCATTGGTTTAGCTTGGTATTGGCTCGCACCATTCTGTTGATGTTTTCTAGGATCTGTTTGCTTACACGCCCAAGGTTGTTTTTGGCTGGATTGATGAGTCTACATTTTGGTTTGTTACAGAAGTTCTCTTTGTGGTCTTTCATTGATATGAATGCGTTCGTGTTCGTCATCGTTTCGATTTTGTTTGCTATGTCAAGTTCCGCTGTAATATCTCTCAATTCGCGATTAATATCAGCGATTGCTTCTTCACCTGCTGCTTTATATGAACTTGTGATGTTTTCTTTTAATAATTTACAGTATTTGTCCTTATCCAATTCGCTCCACAATCTCTGTGTTGAGCACTCTAGCAAAGTGGACAAACCCAACTTGTATATATATATATATATATATATATATATATATATATATATATATATATATATATATATATATATATATATATATATATATATATAATCATCATCACCATCATTAGTACCACCATCATCATATCATCACCATCACATGATGATGGTTACATCACCACAAATAACCATCATCATCAGCATAACCATCGTCAGCATAACCACCATTATCACCACCATCATCATCACCACCATCATCATCACCACCATCATCATCACCACCATCATCATCATCACCATCATCATCACCACCATCATCTTTACCACCATCATCACCACCATTGACCATCTCATCACCACCACCATCATCACCATCACGATCATCATCACCACAAACCATCATCATCACCATTGCCACAAACCATCATTATCATCATCATCATGCATCACCATCATCATCACCATCATCACCACCATCATCATCACCATAACAACCACTGTGACTCCCTCTATTTTAGGTGCAGATGTGATTGGGGTAAACTGCAAGTTCGACCCACAAGAATCATTAAAAGCTGTCGCTAAGATGAAAGAAGGTTTAGAGAAAGCAGGACTCAAAGCTCATCTGATGTTTCAACCGCTGGGATTCCACTGTCCTGACGCTGACAATAAAAATGGTTATATTACACTTCCTGAATTTCCATTTGGTAAGATCAGATCGATGTTCAAAGCAAGCGCTGTTCATTGCTAAGATCCTAGGCTCTCTATACATTCGGCCCGGACTCAGGACATTCATGTGAAAAGAATCAGTCAACGTTCTGCCGAAAATCATGGGTTTTGTCCGATTTCCTCCCGCAGAAAATGCTGACAAACTGGGTTGGGATCCGCCCCTAACTGACCTTTCTACCGCAGTTGTGCTTCGTAATCAGACCACCTTATTAATCTAACCCAGTTCCTTTATTAAACATAGCCCTTGAACCGCGACAGTTGACAAGATGGGATGTCCATAAACTGACAAGGAGTGCTTACGATTTGGGAGTGCGATATTTTGGTGGGTGTTGCGGCTTCAAAGCGTATCATATTCGAGCAATCTCTGAAGAGGTGGGCAGTGCATTAAAATATTACCACTAATTAATATCGTCATCATCACCAGCACCACAATAATCACCATCACTAATTATACGACCATCATCATCATCACTACCACCACCATTACCATCATTATCACTAAGGACCATCACACCATCATCACTATCATCATCATCACCACCATCATATCCATAATCATCATCACGATCGATCATCACCGTCATGATCATCACACCATCATCAACAACGTCACTATCATCGTCATCATCATCATCATCAACAACATCACTATCATCATCATCATCATTATCATCATATCCCATTATCATCATCATAATTATCATCATCATCACAATCATCATCACTATCATCATTACATCATCATCATCAACATCACTACCATCATCACCACCATCATCATCAACAACATCACTATCATCATCACCATTATCATCACCATCATCATTTTGATTATCCTTATCACTATCATCATTATCATCATCATCATCACCAACATCATTATCATCACCATCATCATCACGATCATTTCCACCATCATCGTCTCCACCATTATCATCATCATAACCATTATCATTGCTATGACCAGTACAATCACCCCATTAGTTTTACCCAATATTTCTTTTATTCCTTGTAGCTTGAAAAAGAACGAGGTACAAAAGCGGCAAGCAGTAAGAAACACCTACCTTTTCAATCCTTATACTCTTCAACATCTGGTCAGATGTAAGTTAAGCTTCAACACAGTTTTATATGATCAAACTTTCCAACTTTTCCAAAACACGTTTTTACTGGATAGCATCGTTGTTTCATTAAAGAAATGGCTTTTGACTATTCTCCAAGCATTCAGACTTCATAGCAGCTCAAAAGCAAATTTGAAAATTTTGGAAATTTTCCAATATTTTCAAAACATCTTTTTAACTGGTTGAAATTTCTTCTTTTCATGAAAGAAAAGGCTTTTGACCATTACCTAAACATTTGAAGCAGTTTGAAAGGCTGTTATGATGTGGTCCCCTTCCCCTTTGTATTTGACCAAATTTTCAAAACATGTTTTTTATCATCGGAAAGTCGTTTTTTTTTCATTATGGTTTTCGACAATTTTTGGAGTACGTTGAGGCATTTTTGTAATTTTTGAGAAAATTCCTGTGGGAGACCCTTTTGTTGACCCTAGGATTGTTGCATTTGACCAACAATTTCTGGCGAGTCTCTTTTTGTTTGATATTGATTGCTTCGTGAAAAAAGTTGGACTTGCCACAAGTCGACCTCGCGCAAACGACCTCGTCGCTCGCGCTCGCTGCTCGCGTTTCGTTCGAGGTTGACTTGTAGCAAGTCTAGAAAGAAGTATGCCCGGGACCTATAATGCCATGGCCCCTTTCTTTCCATTTGTAAATCCAGTGGTCGACAAGTTACTTGTCATTAAAATTCTCAAAATTCAAATTTCAGAGAGCGAAATAAAGAATTTTGGTTGAATTTGAAGCCAGCATCTGGGCGTTAATTTTGTCCTGCGTCCCGTGCCATATTTATTCCGCGTAAGTAGAACGGATGGCAAAACTGAATTTAAAGAACTTCATTTTGAGCTGTCTTGCTTTTTAGAAGACGTTTTGTTTGGAAATGTGAAAACTAATCAAGTCGCTGAGTGTTTTAATTAAATACAATAAAATATAAAAAGAAAGTGTAAACATTTTGAAAAGTGTTTTTTATTCTGACTTGACTTTTTTATTAATTTAGTGATCGAAAAGTACATGTTTCTAAGCGTATTTTATAAACGTACATATAAAGGCTCCCTTAATTACACCTTTTTACTTTTATTGCGTCCATATTATGTAGAATGAAGTTAGTCGATTCTCTATTTCTTATTTAACTATATATAGTGCCTATCTGCAGCTATTTGCTGATACTTTTCATTTTTCTTGCGATAGACCATGGAAAACTCCTCGCTGACGTGAATTAAATTCCCCCGCTGTCTTTGATCCAATCTTTATAAGTAATAACATGAGTTGAGAGAAATTTGCGATTAAATTGCCCGCCCCCGAGGGAAGATTTTTGAAAGACATTCACAAATCCTCCCGAGGCGAAGAAGAAGGGTAATTTAAGTAAGTCATGTTATCAGTGAGCAATATTATGATAGCCAAGGAAAACTCAGAGTAGTTTACATGTAAGCTGCGATAAGTTTAGGTGTTTGTTTTTCTATGGTTCAGCAAAGTTGTTTACGAGTTTTACTATTGATTGAAGTAATTATACCTTTTGGACATGCTTTGCGTTTGTGAGGGTTCCTATTCAAAACTGTTCATCCTAGAGGTCCAGTAAGGATCACCTCTTATTGATCCAGTGTTACTACAGGAGGAAACCTAAACTAAACTAACTTGATTTATATTGAATAGTTCTATCAGTTCAAAACTGTTCTTCCTAAAGGTCCAGTGAGGATCATATTTTATTGATCCAGTGTAACTACAGAAGGAAACCTAAACTAACTTTATTTGTACTAGATAGCTTTATCTGTTTTAAACTGTTTTCCCTAGAGGTGCAGTAAGGATCATCTCTTATTTATCTAGTTTTACTATACGGGAGGAAACCTGACCTTAACTTTATTTGTATTGGATAGCTCTATCAGTTCTAAACTGTTCTTCCTAGAGATGCAGTAAGGATCATCTCTTATTGATCCAGTGTTACTACAGGAGGAACCTAAACTAAACTAATTTATTTATCAATTGGATTCAATGGATTTCGCTATCAGGTCTGAACTGTTCTCCCCAAGTGGTCTAGTTTTGCCCGGTAAAATATGTAACAATGTGATTCCATATTGAGTTATTGCGAAACAGAATAACCGGACATATTATATTACATTATGATCATATTATATTACATGAATATTACTTGCAACCCATAGCCACTAGGCTTTGAATCTTTTACATCGCGAAGCTAAACATCGTTGCTGGCATGTCAAATTCAAACAAAAAGGTATGCATTGGTTTGTATTGTACCGACATACGTTTATTGTAAGCATTTTAGGTTTGATAGTTTATCACATTTAGGCCGTGTTTGCATTGCCCAGCATTTCTTGTAATTGCGAAAGCTACCCGCAGCGAGCCTATTGTGGTTATTTTAAATTAAAATATAGTTAGACTACATAACTTTCGCCTAAATCTATCGCATACAACCTGCTTACAACTTGACTTGTACTGTATTAACCGACAACTTGGGCGAGTTGTGTGCTTGATTTGCAGTGAGTTTGCATGCAACAATTTTGGGCGAAAGTTGTGCAGTGTAAATTGGCATTATCAAGCGCGAACAGACAATGAAATTTGATCAGCCATGTGCAGTGAACCTTGCGAAATTTATTCACCTAATCGGTATGCTGGAAGACGCGGACACGCGGACACTTGCGGAAAATACAGATAGTTATGGAAAAGACGGGCTGTTATTTGGAGAGTTTTTTCCCAGTTGTTGACAAGTCTGGAACTCGCAACAAGTTGTTGCAACGAGTCTGATATCGTTCGCACGTAACAAGTTGTTAGTTAACACGTTATGACAACAAGCTCGTGGCAACTTGTTACGAACAGCATGTATTAGTCTTGTTGGAACAACTTGTAGCAAGTCTGTTACCCTCATCAACCTTGCAACAAGGTGATAACAACTTGTTCCAGACTTATCACAACAACTGGGAACAAGCAGTGCGATCTTAATATCGGCTTCACAACAAGCTTGTTACAACTTGTTTGCAGTTCTGTAACAACTTGCGCGTCTGCAAAAAAATTGTCACAAATCTCAACAAGTTGTGTTCGTACTGCTTGTTCCCAGTTGTAACACATATATCATGACTGCATCGGGCTTATAATGCTTTTTTCTGTGGTCGGAACAACCTTGCAACAAGTCTGATAATATCAACAAAGTTTTACAATTTTTTTTTTTTTTCTGTGTTGGTGTTGTGTACTCAGGTGAATAATATGCTTGCGATGTTACTCTGAGTGCATATCCACACCGGGCGAGCTTGAAAAATATGCCCGGCCACGGTGGGATTCGAACCTAAAATCAGAGTAACATCGCAAACATATTATTCACCTGAGTACACAACACCAACACAGAAAAAAAAAAAATTCATATTACTAGAACACATTGGTATTGAAGGAACTAGATACTGTTCCGAAATATCACTTACACGAACCGTCCTGACCGCGTAGCTCAGTTGGAAGAGCATTGGGCTAGTATTCCAAAAAGGTCCTAGGTTCGAATCCCACCGTGGCCGGGCATATTTTTCAAGCTCGCCCGGTGTGGATATGCACTCAGAGTAGCATCGCAAACATAAAGTTTTAATTACAAGTTGTTACAGCTTGTTCCAAACTTGTTGACAACTTGGGGCAAGCAGTGCGAACACAACTTGTTGACAGACTTGCTACAAGATGTGAGAGTTTTACGTGTGTACCAAAGTTCAAAAATAGAAAGCCATGATCAGAATTTTAGTTAGCGATTCTCATTCAGTATATCGTCAATTTTAAGACGATCTTAGAACGTTTGGATGCAGGGGAAATCTTGATCGGTGATGGCGGTTATATTACTGAAATGGAACGACGTGGTTATGCTACAGGTGGTGAATGGACCCCAGAGGTTAATGTCGAGCATCCTCATGCTGGTAAGTTTATCTGTAAATACTATTATTACCACCATCATCATCATTACTGCCATCACAGGTTATGCAGATATTTCACAGCACACTCCCAGGGACGAAACTAGCCCCTTTTAATTCGGGGGGGGGGGCTGCTAGAATTGTCCTGCGAAAGCCGTTGATGCCCTGCAGAAAAAAAATTTTCGTCGACCTCCCCCCCCTCTTGTCGCCAAAATATTCCGGTCAGTATACCATTTTCGGGGTCAAAATTTTTTTTCGGACATTCAAAAAAGAGGCAAAAAAAATTTTTCCCGGGACAAAAACCAGTTAAATTAAAGGTAAAAAAATTTTTTCGGACAAATTCCTGTTAACACATGCATGAAACCATTATTTTTTTAACAATATCTGAAATTTAAAATCTTTCATTGCCCTGCCAATCCAGATGATTTGCCCTGCCAATCCAGCTTGGGGGGGGGGGGGGTCACCCCCCCCACACCCCCTTAAGTTTTGTTCCTGCACACTCCCTATCAGGGCTTTTAAGTGACTGGTTACATTATGATATATAGATAGAACCGGACTGACGTGAAGCAGACCGCGAGGTAGGTGCGCTAACCACTTGGCCACCGAAGCTCCACATCAGTCCATCACCATTATCATCACCCAAGTCAATCATACCATCATCATTGTCATCATCATCACTATCATCATCACTACCATCATGGCATCATTATCAGCCCGTCACATTATCACCATTATTATCATCATGATCATCATAATATCATCGTACTGTCACCTTGACCATCATCATCATTATCATCATCATTATCTCGTCATGACTACTACCATCACTACCACCATCATCATCACCATCAATCCCATCACTATCACATTGTAATCATCATCGTCGCCACCACTATAACAAAGATTTCACTCTTACGTTTAAGTGGAAGGTTTACATCAAGAGTTTGCCAGGGCAGGATCTGACGTCCTCCAAGCATTTACCCACCACGGTCTATGGGTAATTATCAGGATTTAGGCGTCTCACTCGATAGAACCAAGTGTAGCAGGGTTTTGTTGATGCAGATTTCGAGTATAAATTTTATTTATTAAACTACAGTATAAGCTCTCTGGCAGGAATCGAATCTGTGACCATGCGATTTCCTCTGACTCACTGACTCAACAAGACATGATTCTTTATGGACCTCTATGGAGAACAGTTTAGTACTGATAGAACTATCCAGTATAAATAAAGTTAGTTTAGTTTACGTTTTCTCTTGTATTAACACTGGATCAATAAGAGATAATTCTTTCTAGACCTTTAGTGAGAACAGTTTAGAACTGATAGAGCTATCCAGTATAAATAAAGTTACTGTAGTTTAGTTTAGTTTTGGTTTCCTTCTGTAGTAATACTGGATCAGTAAGATCGAGATGATTCTTTCTGCATCACTAGGGAGAACAGTTTAGAACTGATAGAGCTATCAAGTATAAATAAAGTTAGTTTAGTTTAGGTTTCCTCCTGCAGTAACACTGGATCAATAAGAGATTATTCTTTCTGCATCACTAGGAAGAACAGTTTAGAAGTGATAGAACTATATAAATTTATTTGGTTCAGATTATGTTTTTTCCTGTAGTACCACTAGCCTTTACTGAGGGTTTCTGTTTATTTAGTCACGAACGGAAGGCCGAGCTGAAGTCAACGAATCAGCGTGTCGAATCGTGAAAAAAGTTGCCGCACAGTACAACTGTCTCTGGGCCGGAGGATTGTGTCCCACAAGCATTTATGGACAAGGTGGCTCTAAGAAAGACGTCCAAGAATATTTTAAAGGACAAGCCGAAATCTTTGTGAGACATGACTCTGATTTTATAATTGTTGAGGTGGGTAAATTCTGATATACAGGGTGTCTCAAAAAATGCAATAAGTATGTTCCAGATTTTTGCGCAGCTATGTATTGTGGGTATCGAAGATTTAATCTAAGAGATAAATTTTGTAATAGAGAAAGAGACTAGCACTGGATCAATAAGAGATAGCTCTTACTTGATTTCTAGGGAGAACAGTTTAGAATTGATAGAGCTATCCAGTATGAATAAAGTTAGTTTAGTTTAGGTTTCCTCCTGTAGTAACACTGGATCAATAAGAGATGATCCTTACTGGATCTCCAGGAAGAACAGTTTAGGACTGATAGAGCTATCCAGTATAAATAAAGTTGGTTTTGGAAAAACTCTGCATACTTACAACCAGGGGCGCGACTTGGCTGTAGTTTTGGCGGAGGCTGGGGGGGGGGGGAGGAGGGGGTTACAGCGTTTTAGCGAATTTTTGTTCGTTCTTAGTATTTTTACAGCTGCGAAGAAGCAGAGTGGGCGGTTGAGGTGTTAAAAGAAACAGGAAAACCTGTGATGGCCAGTCTCTGTATCTCAACACAGGGTGATTTGAAAGGAGTCCCTACTGATGAATGCGCTGTACGCCTAGTGAAAGCTGGTAAGATGAGTAGTGCTTTACAGCATTTAACCACCGTTTGTCATCGTATCATGACCTGCAACCCAATACCGTTATCGTCATCAATACCAATCAATCAATAGGTCTTTATTAATTGCATAGAATAAAGGATACATATTCTATGTGGCAAAATATTGTAAAGATATATTTTTTTATATTTACACCAATTAAACGGAGAATATATTCCGAATGTGAAAATTTAAAGAGGGCCGGGGCGCTCAAATGAGTAGGTACGGTAGTCCAATTATATTTGTCAATTGCATATACAATTGAACTATGTTTAAAACATTATGATATATCATCACCATAATCATCACCAGTATCACCACCATCATTATCTCAACCATCATCATCATCATCACCATCATCATCATCAGCATCATCACCATCATCATCATCATCATCATCACCATCATCATCACCATCATCACCATCATCATCACCATCATCATCATCATTATCAGCATTATCATCACCATCATCATCATGACCACGATTATCATCATCATCACCATCATCATCATCATCATCATCATCATCATCACCATCATCATCATGGCCACCATCATCATCATCATCAGCATTATCATCACCATCATTATTATCACCATCATTATCATCACCATCATCGCCACAAATCATCGCCATGACAACCACTGTGGCTCCTTCCATTTCAGGTGCAGATGTGATTGGAGTAAACTGCAAGTTCGACCCACCAGAATCATTAAAAGCTGTCGCTAAGATGAAAGAAGGTTTAGAGAAAGCAGGACTGAAAGCTCATCTGATGTTCCAACCGTTGGGATTCCACTGTCCTGATGCTGATGATAAAGAGGGTTATATCACACTTCCTGAATATCCATTCGGTAAGATCGGGTGCAGTGCTGTGAGTAACTTCGTTACAACTAACTATTTACATATAATCGTTACATTTTGGGCACTGGTGTCCTTGGCAAGTGTGCAACGTGCGAAAGGCTGTTCTGTGGCCAACTTTTGAATTTATCTATAGAGTTAATCATAAAACCACAAGCATTAAAAAAGACTTCTTGTTATAAATGTAATGGTACTAAAAGGGAGGCTGGTTGCGCAGGGGTTGCGAGTTCTTCGGGATTTTCAAAAAAATAGTTTTTTAAAAAAGATTTAAAAAAAAACAACAAAAAAGTTTTAATATTTTCAAAAAACTTAAAAAAAATTAGGGTTAGTGGTTAGGTTTGAGGTTAGTGTTAGGTGCCGCGAATTTATTTATTTTATGACAAACCCAAAATGTACCGCGGATCTGTCATGGTGTTGAGTTCGGGCGTGTTTGGGAATTTGCTCATGTGATGAATTGGGGTGGTGCTCATGCTGCCATTTCAAAGGGCATGTAGTAAAACACTGACTACCGGAATACCGGAACACCACCGGAACACCGGAACACCACCATTTTGTTTGGGGTTAGGGTTAGGATTAGGGTTTGGGGTTAGGATTAGGGTTAGGGTTGGGGGTTAGGATTGGGGTTAGGGTTAGGTGGTGTTCCGGTGTTCCGGTCGTGTTCCGGTGTTCTGGTGGTGTTCCGGTGGTGTTCCGGTGTTCCGGTAGTCAGTATTTTACTACATGCCATTTCAAAGTATTGTTGCTATCACTAAATTCTTAAGCATCATTAATCTTAGTTGTTTTTCGAGTTGATGGCATATGTTTATTTATGACTGTAGTTATGTATATTTTATTCTATATGTATTGCATGTTTGTTGTTGTGTCTTTAATCGGAGGAGTGCCTTGCATGGGACCTCGAGTCCCGTTCGCACTCCTACCGTTTGGTCACTATCCAATAAAGTATTTAAAACAAAAAACAAAACAAAACTTATAAATTCCATTAAAGTCACATATTATTAGCACTGATGAAGATCCGGGCTTACGGATCGAAAGCTTTGCAGTAATAAATTTACGTGGTGTTTCCACAAACAAAAACAATTATAAATTCCAGTTGAACAATAACATGTAGTTGAGATTGGAAGAATTACAATATACAAATCAATCAATCAAACTGTCAATAAATCATAATACAGTCACAACGGAATTGTCAATAAATCATTTTTGTACTAGTTTTTGCAAAGCAAAATAAAGGGGAAATATACATTTTCTAAAACTAAGCATTGGAAATCCTTACAATCCAAATCTGCCTTGAATCTTAACACTTCTCTCTAATCTAACCCAATATTTTTATTAAACATAGCCCTTGAACCGCGACAGTTGACAAGGTGGGATGTCCATGAACTAACAAGGAGTGCCTACGATTTGGGAGTGCGATATTTTGGTGGCTGTTGCGGCTTCAAAGCGTATCACATTCGAGCAATCTCTGAAGAGGTGGGCGGTGCATTAATAATACCATCATCATGAGGATTTACCATTAAGGATTTACCACCAAGATGATGAGGTTTACCATTATCATCATCACCACCATTCTCACACAATATTACATTATTACATTATCATTTAGCTCCCTTTCCATCGGGGCTTTTCAGTTACCGATTAAATCAATGATGTTCGCAGGGTATTGGGCTGGTATTCCCAAGGTCGTAGCTTCAATTCCCACCGTGGCCAGGCATATTTTTCAAGCCTGCCCGGTGTGGATACACACTCAGAGTAACATCACAAACATCATATTCACCTGAGTACACAACACCAACACAAAAAAAAATGATGTTTGTGATGTTACTCTGAGTCTATATCCACACCGGGCAAGCATGAAAAGTATATGTCGATCTGGCCACGGTGGGAATCGAGCGTACGACCTTACTAGCCCAATGCTCTGCCGACTGAGCTACGCGGTCAGGTCGGTTCGAGTATGTGATATTTCGGAACTGAGTCTAGTTCTTTCGATATCAATAACACGAACGCAAAAAAAATTACGATTACATCCAATATTACGCTTATACTTATGTTACTTACTTAGCTTAGACTATTTTATCTTTACAACAATTGTGATGTTACTTTCCTAACTGTGTTGATCCTAACCCACCCAGTCAACTTTCCCTGTGGGAGGAAACCAGAGCGTCTGGAGAAAACCCACGACTTTTGGCAGAGCGTTGACTGACTCTTTTCACATGAGTCCGTAGCGAGAATTGAGCCCACGAACTCAGAGGTGAAAGGCGCTTTCTCTGACGACTGCGTGACCAAAACCCCGACCACCATATCCACCACTACCACTAGATCCATCACTATTATCATTATCAAAATCATCATAACACAATCATCAGCAGCACAATCATCATAACTATTATCATCATCATCACTCTCATAATCACCGAGATATCATTCCTACCATTGACATCGTCATTACCATTATCATCATCACGATCATCTCCACCATTATCATCATCATCATTACTTACAATTATCATAACGATCATCATCACGATTATCCCGCCATTATCATCATCATTACAATTATCATAACCATCATCATCACGATCATCTCCACCATTATCATGGTCGTTATCATCGTCACCATGATCATTGCTATCACCAGCACAATCACATCATTGATTTTACACCAGATTTTTTTATTTCTTGAAGCTTGAAAAAGAACGAGGTACAAAAGCAGCAAGCAGCGCGAAACACAAACCTTTTAAAACAATGCCCTCTTCAACATTTGGTCAAGTGTAAGTTCAGCGGTTTAGTTATGTGACCAAAATTTCCCTGTTGTCCCCTTTTGCATTTGACCAACATTATTCGAAACCTTTTTTATTATTAGTCAAAAGTAATTGACGAAAGTAATGTAATGGTTTTCGACAGTTTTCAGAAAGTTTGGAGTACGTCGAAGCATTTTTTAATTTTAAAAAATGCCATAGCTCTTTCTTTCCATTTGTAAATCCTTGTCCAAACATACTTTTCATTAAAATCTCAAAATTCAAATTTCATGCAGGGAGCGAAATGAAGAATATTGGTTGAACTTGAAGCCAGCGTCTGGGCGACCATTTTGTCCCTCATACAGTAAGCCCGAGAACGGAACAAGCCCATGAGTTTATGACTGGTTTATGGATTATAACATTAAAATAAACTCGGCTGGTAGCCGTACTGTATTGTACTTTTGTATAACTATGTTAAAGAGTAGATAGACTCGGCCGGTAGCCGTATTGTATGTATTGTCTTACTGTATTATATAAATGAATGTTTATAATCAATGTTTGTAAATTGCGTGAAGATTTAACTCCTGATTTACATAAACTTCAGCTTTGATTCTCTCGAAATTTTTAAAATTACTTTAAAATTACTTCGCCAATGTACTCATAAGATAGTTCGCATCCGATATTTTTCTGATATACAAACTCTTGCCTTCAGCTCGAATTTGTATATCAAATAAAGATCGGCATGTCTTACCTAGTATTTGAAGATACCCTTCAGCTGAATGTTAATTAATTAACATATATTGCGTGTCAGAGGAGGTTGGACAGCTAATTAGGCGAATCTGAGCGAATCTCTCGACCAATCAGATTGCGCCATTTTCCTCATGCTCGTATGAAGCTTTTAGCATCGAAAATTTACATAGGGCTCATAAATATCGACTTTTTCCATATTGTTATGCACATTTTTTTGGAAATTTCACGCGATACTACTTTTACAACAGTTAATCTACCCATTGGAACGGTATCTTGAAAGGTAAGCGTTATTTTCCAGTTTATTTTGACCTCTCACTTTAGGCGCTATGCCGTCGCGATGTAATTTAATGGCGTTTCTGTCAACAATCTTTTAAGACAAAAATCTCAAATTTCCACGGTTCGATTTCGCTATTTTTTTCACGATTAGTTAAACAAAAGTATAATCTTTAATTCTATCCAGCCGGCCCCCCTCGGTCCCGCAACCGTTTTCGAGATATTCACCGTTGAATATAGCCCTCTGTAAAATATGTTGCCTTGTCACTCAGATCGATAATGAACTGCTATTACTCGCTTTTTTCTAAAGAAGTGTGATATATTATAGAAATTTCGATATATTATGGATTGTATATATTGCAGTTAAAGTGTGCAAATAATTAAAGCCCTTCCGTAACAATATTTTGTAAGTGAAATTTATTGTTTGGCTGATGTTTTAGATTTGAGGTTCATGATTTTGGCTGGATTCTATTTTTGTCAATGATTTTGTCTGCAAGAATTAAGCATCATCATTAAATTTGGAGGTAAAATCTGTCCTTCCAATCTGTACAGACCTTCTACATCTGCAAGATCTCCGATGCTATGATTGTCTCTCCATCGAGTGACCAAAACCTTGTTCACCTTTCTGGTTATGTTATTGGTATGACTTCTGGATTTTCAAAACTTACCCAGCGACAACCAGAATAACTACTCATCCACCTGTTTCAAAAATGGCTGGTAAAAGTTAACCCTGGTTTAGATGCTAAATTTGTCCCTCGAAATTTTCTCCCACTTGTTGCCAAGGCTATGTACGTACTTCATGCTGGTCAAAAAGACAATCTGATTTATCACACTGCTCGATGCTTTGGAGAACAACGCCATGGAGATGTTGGTCTGATGCCATTGGATAGAATGCCCTTTATAGGAGTGAAGGCCCACTTGGCCTTTTTTTAACAGTATTTTGTAATGATGTTACACAACTAATTCAGATAAAGTTTGAGAAGTGGTGGTTCTTTCAATGTTAAGCCCCAGAGAGGGGGGTGGGATCAGGCATATGTCGGGCATTTGATTTTTTGAGCAAATTTTCAATCAAATGCCCCACTGTTAGGTAATAAGTATTGGTCAAACACCCCACCATTTTGCAATAAATTGCAATAAATACTATATTAATAAAAGTCATTTTGGTTCAAATTACCCTAACTCAGGCCCAAAATGCTAATCAAAATCCCCATAGTGGGGATGCAATGATGATCAAATACCCTACATATGCCCACCCCCCTCTGGGGCTTGACATTGATAGGTGCAATTATATGCAGGGTTTTTTTTGTATTCTCATGTAATGTACCACAAAGTATCAGCAGCATGTTATTGTGGGACCTTTGATCAATATGTATATAAATAGACATATGTTTGTTTTATTGTTGCATTAATTTTAATGAAAAATAAAAATTACTCACAAAGTTGGTCAAGTGAATGTACAAACTATTTATTTCTTCATTTAGTACAGCACATGTTACAATTATGTACTTGTCTTAATTGCATGAGTGTGCATGACAGACTTTTTATATTTTAATTGTGTACACCCACTTATGATTAACCTA